TGATATAGTGCCGTATAGTAGTGAAATGTTTTACGAAATATTTCCAGAAATATTTCGTAAAACATTTTGGGGATAGTGTAGCGGCTATTTAACACTTTTAGAATAATTATATAATAAATTTTTCCTATACTCGCTATTTAAACCCGTGTATTTGTATATGCCGGTTGTTTACGATATTCTCCGATGGTGGCAGCACCGGTAGAGAACGCTCCAAGTCCATAAACACGTAAACACTAAACCGTTAGATATTTATCCGAAACCGATACAGTGGCAGAATGCATTTCCAGTCGAAATAAACAAATTGCATCGCACTTGCATAATTCAGATATCCTGAGTAAGGGCAGGAATTGTAGTCGTCTTCTTCCGGTGAATATTTTAGCCGTGCGGCATTTTACGCCCCGACATACTTTCCTATTTAAATACCGAATCGAAAAATCAATAAAACATCTCTTGCTAAGTCGACTTTTACATTACTCCAAGCCGTAAAACTCTCCCGAACGATTTCCTCCACACGGGAGAAATTTCGCTTCATTTACAACTCGAAACGTGGAAAAAGTCGCCCAGGAACGCCTATGCACGTATGGCCGCTTTAATCTTAATATTTTCGCTGGTAGATATCGAACGATTTCAGTTTTCGGCTCAGAGTAATAAAAGACGTGTCGACAATATAGGCTTGGTGCGTTTCAGCAGACAACTTTAAAACAGCCAACAAACACGCTCCGAAGAAACCCGCGCCAACTGAAGGATAACTGGTGGGCGCAAAAAGCTAGCCAGATTCAAGATTATGCCACGCATTACTACTATCGTAAATTCTTGGAGGCTGTAAAAGAAGTATACGGCCCAACTAAGAAGGCAAGATGCTCAATCATAGCACAAAATGGCGAACTTCTAAAAGAGGAAGAGCAAATAAGAAACCGCTGGAAAGAGCCATTACAGTCATATCCCCAACAACTCCAATATGGAAGCACTCAACACAATACCTCAGTATAACAGCCTCGATGTATTAGATATCTCAATAACAGCCCATACAGCACGTCCAAATGAAATTACGTTTCTACAAGGGAGACACATGAGACACAACATATGTTAAAGTGAACCTAAGTGTTCATCTAGTTCTAACATATACATATGAGATACACGCAGATTTATATTGATAGAATTGTGTGATACAGTGTTTACTAGTTGTATACCGTATGCACTCAAGATTCTAAAGAGTTTTATGTAACGTAACAAATAATTATTAAAATGATGAAATCTGACGTCGGAATATGAGACATACAATGTATATGTCATATGTATGTGTGATACTTCGTATCATAGTTGTGCCTATAGTACACACCTTGTAAAAATGTGACGTATACACATAATATAAATTTCTATATAGACACTTTGTAATAGTGTACTGTTGTGTCTACATTCTAGCATGAAATGAAGGTGTGCGCACGCGCGGACAGCCTCAGCGTAGATCCCCCACCAAGTGTATCTTATGTGTTCTCTCTCCTTTCTCCTTTCTAGGAGTGGTATGTGTTAGCAGCCATTATTGTTTTATCATTCGGAAGCTCTATATAAATGTTCGGTTTATGTGTAGTTTAAAAGAGATTTTGAGGTAAGCACAAGTTTTTAATTACCTTGTTACACTTTTCTAAGACTATTATTAATATTATAGCAGCGACTCTTCCCTTACTCGATACCCAATTTACCAAATTTTGACTCCAATGAATGAAAACTCCAAATATTCTCGTATAATGATAAAGAGGTTAGCTCTGCAATATAATTTTTTTTTAATTTGGAAATAATATAAATCTAAATGAAGAGAAGTGAAGAAAGAAATATGAAGAAAGAAAGATTTATACACTTCAAAGAACTTCTTACACTGATATTCGGTAAGTTATTGATGGATCAATATACAGGTATGTTTAATATTCAATAATCAGTTTCATATAAAATTTAAGGGTGAGATTGTCAATCTGAGATTGTTAATCTCGATGAATGAGTATGCTAACAAACCAACTGTTTGGAGGGAAAAGAAGAGAAAAAAATTACTAAACGAGGTCCACCAAATCGTGGCGATATACCAGTGTTTACCATTTTAGTATGTTGTTATACTAGGTACCTACTTATATTTTTAATACATTTTGATACAAATTCTGTTCTTTTACAGTGTTTTCTTACTTCTGGTTTCTGCAGTGTAAATAATTATTATTATTGTGTTATTTGCGCTATTGCGTTCCATGATATAAAGAAATATAAGAATTTTATTTTTAACCACTTAATCCATTTTATGGAAAAAAAAATGATACATTTAATACAAAACAAAAATGGAGCAATTTTAAGGCTACTTCTCTTGAACTTACGATCGATATACTTTTGGAAAATACAAAGTTTTGCCTTCCTAATTTTCGTTCTAAAAAGATATAATTGGTATCATTGAATAAATATTTCTTAAAAAGAATGAAAAGTTAGGCATCAAAACTTGTATTATTTCCTAAATTCGTTCATAAGAAGTAGTTTTATCTAGCACAAGAGGTATATCTAGCACACGATGTATAAGCAAAATACATACGTATACACGCAGTAGTCACAACTGCAATGTGTAAACAGAGTTTAAACGTAATACACAAGCACCCTATATCCTACGGCACACTGTGTATCCCTTACTTTGTGTATACGTAAATGCTATACTGTGGCTACATTGTGAGGCGGACGTTTAAACCTTTGTGCATACGTGTTGAACTACAATGTGTAAACGTAGCATATTTGCATCGGGGGAACTGTGTCACCCTGTGTCTACATTTAATAATGTAAACACATCGTAAATGTGATTTGATGTGCTGTATGGGAGAACAGGAAATAAAGGACTCCATAAAACAGCTTAAAAACAACAAATCAGCTGGCTGTGACGCGATTCCGGCGAAAATCTATAAGTGTGAAAGTAAAGAACTAATTCATCTTAAGGCTCTCTTCGATGTCATATGGGAAAGCGGAGAGGTACCTCAGGACTTTTGCAACGCGAATATAGGGAATATATTTAAGAACAAAGGCAGTGCATCAGACTGCGGAAACTACCGAGGAATTTCACTACTGGTAAAAACCGGTGCGGCGGTTTTGCACCCACATATAGAAAAATCCTCCCAGAATAGCAAACGGGTTTTCGCACCAATTGCTGTCCCGTCGCTTGTCGATTCCATATTCTCTATCCGCCAACTACAGGAAAAATATAAGAGCAGCAGTCTAAACTTTATGTTGCATTCATCGATCTAACAGAAGCGTTCGACTCTGTAAACAGAGTTGTACTTCGGGCAATTATGAAAAAGTTCGGAGTACCCAACAAATTTCTTACAGTGTGTAAAAGCCTCCATAACAACAACAAGTCAAGAGTGTCACATCATGGATCACTGAGCGATCCCTTCCTAACAAAAACAAGAGTTAGGTAGTGATGTGTCTTAGCATCTCTTCTATTCAACATATTCATAGCAGCGCTCTCCATTATAGTGGACAGCAAACTACAGGAGAAAGGTTTGGACATTAGATACAGATACGACGGCAGTCTGTTCAACATAAAAAGACTCAGGGCAAAAACATACAAAATTCATCACAGAACTTCAATACGCTAATGACTGCGCTCTAGTTGCAAAAACGTTACAGCAATTACAAGAAATATTGAATACATATACCTGGGCATACGAGGCTTTGGGCCTTAATCTGAAAATCGCCAAAACTAAGATTAAGTGCACTTCCCCGGAAGATCACAACAATGTTATAAAAGTCGGAGAAAAACTATTGGAATATGTAGCGGAATTCAATTACCTCGGCAGTTTGATTTCGGAAAAGGCCAATATCGACTATGAAATTCAGCACAGGATTAGCAGCACCTCAAGAGCATTCTGGAAATTAAAACAGGGTTTTCTACAATCATCACTTGAATACAAAAACGAAACTTGCAGTGTACCGAGCAATAATAATTCACGCCATGTTATATGAAAGCGAAACCTACGAATTCAGTCAGCGATTAATGGCAATGTAGTATGTAGTATGCATAAACTTTCAAAATTAAGGAGAATGCCACACTTCAAGATGTTTTATTGAAATAAAATATGAATATTTCCATACATTTCTAGATTTTTCTATGCCTCTGAGGTTCAAGAGGGACGTATTCTCGCTTACCGTTAGTGGTTCGAAGTTGAGACTTATAAAAGTGCACTTCAATCAAGCAAAAAGCTAATGTAGGTACTTGGGCTAACTCTAATCGACCGCAAAATTTGCTTCGGAGACAATGGCTCCATTTCTCCGCAATATGTTTAAGATCTACACCCATTTACGAATGTAAAGCGTTCGAAAATTCAGTGGATTTTACTATTGTTATACATAAATTCTAGTATATTGAAAAATTCGGGAGACATTTTTATGAAAGAAATTTAGACGGAGTAATCAACAATGGTTGAAAAGAAGAAAAAGAATGTTGAATGTTTAGGAGGAGTTTCTTGAGTTACAACAAGTTATAACTCGTCATACAGTCTCAAGGCTTTGACAAAGGTCAGTATCTAAGCAGCTTTACAGAAGATAGTTCCCCATCTCTGATATCAGTTGTACCAAAGTATATGGCACAAATGGTTGTCGTCTCGGCGCACTCCGTGATGAGGTACCTATTCTGGTGTTTCCCCATTTTCCCCACAGAATCTGCATTCGACGCTGTTTCTTAGCTTCAATCTATTGAGATGCTCGTTGAGGAGACAGTATTTCCTATTCTTTGTTACGGATAATGCTTCCAGGAGTATTTTTGCTCAAATACTCTTATCCTTGTCGCTGCTTTGGTTTTGGAAGCATATAAATCATATGGTCTTTTACCTGCTCAGCAAACAAGGTTGACAAGGTCAGGAAAAAATAATTTTTAAGTGTTGTAAACAACGTCATAAAAAATTAATAAAGAATGCGCCACCACAATAAAAATAATTTAATAAATAATAATACTATAAAACATAAAACAACACAAAGCAAAAGTACATACCAAAACATAATTTGTTAAACATAATTAATTAACATGGCACTTAACTAATTTGATAACAAATTACTAAGTATGAGCACGAAATAAAATATAAAAATAAAATAACTCAAAACACAAAGAAAATTTGCAATAACTTAGATACATTCCTATACAAAAATAATAAGTATGTTTATATTTATTTATTATCTTCTAGTACTAGACTTTCAAACTCTTCGTCTAAATTTTCAATATTATCGTTATCACTCAGAATTTCATCGATGATATTTTCTTGAGACAAGTTTAGAGACATGGCCGTTTTTAGATTGGTATTTTTCGTTTCCGTTACTTTTTTCGATCCTTGTATAGTTTGGGACGTCACTACTGTTGTTGCGCTGGAATTGTTCGTAGTTAATTTACCATTTTCTGAGAAATAAAAAAGAAAATAGAGTATTTCCATTTTGATTTAACTGAAACTTTTAACTTACGTCTAGATAACTCTAAATTAGAATCGTCTGAAGAACTGTGAACTTCTGAAATTGTTGCATCACGTGACGAAGATGTTACTGTTCTATGAGATGTTGTGGAACCTGTTAATGTGATAATAGTTAATTCTCTTACAACATAATGTATATTCTATCTACTTTAAAAGTTGATCTAAGAAATACATGAACTCTGTTAAAACTGTGATTTTTTTTATGACTTGTAACCAAAATGGGACAGTGTACATAGCAACAATTTATAAGAGATATTGAAAATATTTTTCTAATAATCAAAAAGCGATTTTTTGTGCAATTTCTGAAATTTCCTTTAACTTGTACTAGATTCTACTTATACCATAGATCTTGAACATCATTCAATTAAGAAATGATTGCTATTAATCAACTAAATGTACCATATAATCGAAAAAAACGACGTCAAAGACGGCTGAGGAATGAAGATCGATGATAATTTTGGCGAGGTCAAGCCCTAGACGTTATTTATTTGGCCCGTGCACTTCTTTACTTTTTAATGGCGCTTACTGGCAGTTGGCATTAAAAGGAGGTAATGATTGTTTAAATGGTGTAGTTGAAAATTCGCAAAAGAAGTATTTTTGGAACATTTTTGGAGTGTCTGGAAATGTTTTATTCTTTTTTAATTTTTCTATAATTAGTGTTAAATTGTGATAAGTTTTATGTCAATTTTTAGTAAATGACGTCAAGATATTGACCTCACCAAAAATTATTATCAATAATTGTCATTCCCCAGTCGCCTTTGACGCTGTTTTTTTAATCGTATGGTATATGTAACATGTTAAGAGAATACCAGCAAACTTACTATGATGTATAGTATGTTTCTCTGAAAACGTAGATTGTGTTGTTCCAACCAAAACAGTTTTAGATGAGGTAGTGCCTAATTAAAAATAAAAACAATAATGAATGAAAAAATAATTCAAAATGTGATTACAGATTTACTTGATTTTAATGCTGTTAGTGTCCCAACACTTTTTAATAAACTCATGGATTCTGACGACTGGCTTATATGTGTTCCGTTTGAAATCGTATATCCTAAAATTAATATAAAATTTGTATTCGATTATTTACAAATATACTAAATTAACTACTTCCAACTTACCATTATTTATATTTTCTATAGACTGATGATTTGATATAGTTAATTCTGTAGAGTTTGGAGTGACCACTCCGACACTTACAGCATCTAAAAATGATTTTTAAATAAAACAGGGAATTATATTTCTTTCTTTCTATTTCCTACTTACTATGATCTATATCAAAATTAGTAACTCTCAGCTCAGGGGGTATCTCCAGCAATGATTTGTTATCACCATCTTCAAAGTCAGATGCTTCCGAAATGATAACATTGCTGTCTTGGAAGTTATCATCTATACCATTATGATGCTCTATTTCTTCAATATGAACTCTATCTAAATCTATGATAGTGAATGTTATTGATTTTATTCAACTTTAACTACAAGTTATAATACCTTCTAAGTTACTTTCGTTGGAATCTTCGTTAATTTGGACAGTTTCTTGAGCTTCTTCTGCCACACCACTATCTTCATCAGGTTGTACTACATCTATGGCAAACATAATTAAAATTTACATGTGAGTCTAGGTTTTATAGTAGAAATTCTTACTTTTATTCTCCTCATTATCTGAAGAAAAATTAGTAATTTTTGGTGTTGGTAGACTACTTCCTACAACTTCATGCTCTGTATCATTAGTACCTAAAAAAATCTTCTTTAGAATCGATGGTGCTTTGCTTTTTTTGGTAACATATATATTAATATAGTTAGTAGATCAAAACCTTACATTCTTTTTCAATCTTTGTATCGTTAGTGGAAACTTCAAATTTTGTTGGTGTTTCTTTTAAATCAACTTCATCTGTAATTTTATATTTTTATAATCAATTGATGTGTCATTTTTTTGTTTGTAAACTTACTTAATATCACATTATTATTAATGTTTTCTGCTTCTGTTAACTTTGAATCTTCTGTTTTATTTACAACAGTTAGCTCCTGAGTGTTTTCTGAGCTAAAATTACCTATTAAAAATTATACACTAAATTTTCAACTATACTCTGATCTTTACATACTTATTTCTGCAGTAACTGAAGTTCTTATATCTTCACTGTTATCATCTTTGGTATTCGTGCTTTCTTTGTATTCTGGAAGAGAACCAAAGAAATTAATACAGATTAAAACGTTTAACTTTTAGTTCGAATATAGTATGTTCAGCAAAAGAATGAGCGCTTTAGAGAGATTCATTGAAAAATTGACAGAAAAATATATTTACTGTTAAATTAAAATAACATATAATAATATATACGTTCTTACTAGATTCTGGTTCATGTTCTGAAGTTGTATCTAATTCATCTGATACATTCAGTATCTCATCCGATGTTTGGTTGGTACATGTTTCTTCATCTTCATTGGTACCTAAAACATATAACACATTTATAAAAGCCTGATTGTATTGTTTTGCTACAGCATACTATTTTCAACATTTTCAACACCATCTATATTTCCTTCCCTTTGAGTTAAATCATAGTTGTTTGCTGGAGTGTTTTCAACTTGAAGAACTTTCTCTTCTGGTGTTATTTGAATTACATCGATATCTTTTTCTATAGAAAAAATAATTACAGTAGTAATCAAAATTACATTAAGATTATATTTAAGATTTACCATGTTCTACATTTTGCTCAGCAGGAATATTATCTCTAACTATTAGTTCTACTGGTACTTCTAGCAATGAATCAGAATCTTCTGTAGTTTTATGATCTGCAATAGGATCTGCAATTATGTTGTAAATTTATTACTATATTTAAATAATTTAAAATTAAACTGGTACTCACCGTCTATTTGCTCGTAATCTATAATAACATTTTGCTGTTCTTTATGCTCTTTTAATTGAGTGTCTAGAAAATAATATAAATAAATATGATAAAAAATTTAAATACTAATATAATATTTAAAATACCTTTAAAATTGGAAATTTTGATATTATTCGTACTAATTATATCTTGAGCAGATGTTAATAAAGAATTTTTGTTTTCTTCAAATAATTCGCTACTTTCTTCGTCATTCTGATCGGAGGAAATATCCTCTAAAATTTTAGTAAATAATGATTAGTTTTTTAAAATAATTTTGTATTTACTTTTACACACCATGTATAAAATCATTAACTGAATTATTCTCATCTAATCTTAAGTCCGCCTGTTCATTTACACATAGTTGAGGATTAGGTATTGCTTTATCACTAATTTTGTTCTTAGTATTATATTTTTCTATTTCTAAAAATACACAATGATAAAAAACTAAAACTACTTTTAATACTGATAAATATATTTGATTTTTGCTTATCTAATAATTATTTTTATTAAAATTAATAATACAATTAAATATGATAAAAATAATTATTCTATACCCTGAGCTTTGGTATTTTCTTCTTCTAAAGTCTCTTGTCCTAATTTATCTGAAAAAAAAAATAATTTTATTGAGTAAATTTATTTTATAATAATAAATAATTTTTATGTACCTTGTGCTTCAAAATTGCTTATCCTCAACTGTACTGGTACTTCTAAAATAGGCACATCTTCTTTCTGTTCTTTAGATGAAGACTCAATTTCATCTTGTATCTCAGTAAAAATTTCTGAAATAAAAATATATTTATATACAGTTCATTATAAGTATCTTAATTTTACCATCGTGATTCTTATTGACATTGTGTTCTTCATGATCATCATCTGTACTCTGATGTCTTGATTTTACTAAATATTCTTCATTTGTTTGATACTCAAAGGGAGTTTCAGAATGGTAATCTGCACAAGACAAACATATAATTAATTTAGATTTTTTTTAAAATAATGTAGGTACCTTCTGAACTTTGGGTTGCTATCCTGAACTGTATTGGATCTTCAAGCGACGATTTCCTACTCAGACTAAGCTCTTCACCACCAAAGTTTGTAATTTGTACTACAAAGAAATAAAAATTTAATGTATATTTGAATATAACATTATTTCTAAAATTTCATCTACCTGATTCACTCTTATGATGATGACCTCTAGTTGTTCTATGTATTATTTTGTTTACTTCATTATACTCTGCAACTTGTGAGTTGATTCTTTCTAAAAAATATCGTATTTTATATATCATCCAATATTTTTGTGAAAGTATTTACCAAACGTTTGTTTCAGTGCATTTACTGATACGTTGTGATGTTGAAGATCAATATCTTCTTTTTTGGGTATTTCTTCTAAAAACATATATTTTATAACATAACTATTTTAGCAAAATAAGTAAATACAAAAATTAAAAGGTACGTCAAATAATACTGTAAAAATTAGATTGAAATAAGTTCAGCTTTTGTGGCTAACGGATTATTTTAAAAATATATGAAAAATCTATTGTTTTTGTTTTTTACTAGTCTTTTATCTTATAATTTTAAATGATAATATAAATAATTTGTTATAATTACCAACATTTACCTTTGTATTGTTTAAATTTATTTGCGTTTTTTATTGTTTTTGTTATTAATTAATTTTAATTAATGAATAAATCAATGATATTTTATAAACTAATAAAATATTAAAACACTGTTTTATAATATTCTATATATAAAACTATATGGCTCTAACAATGGGAAAAAATATAGTATTCAATTAAATTTTTATGATATAATTGAAATATCTATTATATTTTTAGGGATTAATAATACTCTAAGCTCATTATTATTTTATCTATTGTTTTAAGTAGATTTAGTAGTTATATACGTAAATTTCTATATGCTTCAAATAGAAAATAGATTGGTAATCAAACACTACAAAGTGTTGTAAATAAAAAAAATACTATGTTATTTTTGAAATCAAAATAACTTAATTGAACAAAATTTACCTATATACAGGGTGGTCCGAATATCGGAAAACTCTTCAGCATATTTTGCAGAGAAAAAATAAGTAAAAAAGTTCCTATAAATGTATGTCCTCAAATGCTTCGTTTCGGAGATACAGGGTGTAAAAGTTTCATTTTTATTTTGCATTTTTCCAAATAATTTCTGAAGTAACGTCAATATTTGGATAAAAATTGGTGTCTAGGAGTTTTATGATAAGAGAATTATGATTTTGATATCAATATGACCTCTATTTGCAGGGGGTGCTACCTATCTGTGTTTTAACTGTTTTGAAGAGTAATAATTTTTTGTCCGTACCTGTATAAAACTACTGAGTAACAAATATACATTTCCGGTCATGTCTCTTGATAAAGCTCGCGTCTCAAGATATTTAGAATAAAAATAGTCAATACATGTCAAAGCTCTTCAAATTTAAAAAAACTGAAATTTGGGATACCTACATATATTTCGCTAAACGTTTTAATGCTTAGTTCTGCGACTACAGAATGTTAGGACAACATATACGTACTCGGCTATACAGGTTGTTAATTTGTTTATTACTCGCAGCAAGAGCTTTATGGTTGAAATATGGCAACCTCGGCCCGCTCGTCGATAAACGTCGCGACGCGACGTGTCGGCAGAAAACCCTATAAGTTCATGCGTTCTTAATAGGCAGTGTTGCCATTCTGTTCCCCTATAAGTAACTGTCGAGCTAACAACCTGTATACAGGGTTTTTCACCACATACGACACGGAATATTGTAGCTAAACGATTAGATTTTTATAAATTGTAAGTTTTGGGTTCGTTGAAGGACTACTAGAGCTACAATTTAAAAATATTTTTACAAGATACAGAGTGTACCAAATAAGTAAAAAATAATATAGTTTTATTTTTTTAAATAGAACACCCTGTATATTATTCTATTTTTGGATTCTACGATTGAAATAAAGGTAAATTTGATTAAGGTTTATCACACTTAAACCTTACCGTTTTTTAAATATTTTCAATTTTATGAAATTGCAGTAAAAATGTTAAGGCTTCATTTCTCCAAGGGTATGAAAGTTTTTAATACTAAATATTTACTGACGATTATTTATTGATCAGATATTGTGTTGCAATAATAAAAATTTTAGTACCTTATACAGAGTGTCCAAAAATGTATATTAAATAATTACTAGCTTTAAACGGCAATAACTTGTTTAATTTAAATAGAACACCCTATATATTTTAGGTGAATCAGATGCACAATATAATTGTCTATCAAATTGTATTATACCATTTTTACCCATCTCTTCAAGTTTTCGTAGAAAATGCATTTTCTTATAATTTAGACCTCATTTATCACTATAGCCATGGAATATTGACATTTCAGATTTTTTTAAAGCAACATATATGTACAAAATGTATTGCAAGCCCATTGGTATACAAAAAAAAACTATTTAAATCTTTATGAAAGAGTATACCAATTAAATATACATATCCATTATTTCCGACCAAAAATTAGTTTTAGTTTAATTAATAAAGTATTCTAAATAAATGTGTGTGTGAATTTGACTCAATCAATATAATAATAAGTTATGAAGATGAACGTTTCTGTTTTTATAAATAAGCATTCGTCAAAAAATGAAATAAAATGTATAAAGTGTTACTTTTTACCACACTGTCTAATACACACACAAAATTCAGTTTTTGAGTATTTGGAGCAAATATTATTAATCAACGTACCAGTCAATTAATGTAGTTTGAATGCTAGGGTTCATATTAATTGGTCCTTGTTAACAAAAAATATTTAAACAGTTTTTTTTTTATTTTTTAATGAAATAAGCGAACTATATCGACAATATTAGTATCTGTACTCTTTGAAAATTTGTTACATCTTTAAAAATAATCTAAAATGTCAATATTTCATGGGTATAGTGATAAATGAGGTCTAAATTATAAGAAAATGCATTTTCTACAAAAACTTGAAGAGATAGGTAAAAAATGGTATAATACAATTTGATAGACAATTACATTGTGCATGTGATTCATGTAAAATATATAGGGTGTTCCATTTAAATTAAACAAGTTATTGCCGTTTAAAGCTAGTAATTATTTAATATAAATTTTGAACACTCTGTATAAGGTAGTAAAATTTTATTATAGCAACACAATATCTGATCAATAAATAATCTTCAGTAAATATTTAGTATTAAAACTTTGATACCCTTGGAGAAATAAAGCCTTAAAATTTTTAGTGCAATTTCATAAAATTGAAAATATTTCAAAAACGGTCAGGTTTAAGTGTGATAAACCTTAGTCAAATTTACCTTTATTTCAATCGTAGAATCTAAAAATAGAATAATATACAGGGTGTTCCATTTAAAAAAATACAACTATAATATTTTTAACTTATTTGGGACACTCTGTATCTTGTAAAAATATTTTTAAATTGTAGCTCTAATAGTCCTTCAACGAACCCAGGACTTACAATTTGTAAAAATCTAATCGTTTAGCTACCATACTCCGTGTCGTATGTGGTGAACAACCCTGTAGAAGCAGAAGCTAAAATTCAAATTTGGCTTAACAAGGTATTCAGCTTCATTTTATAATTGTTTAAATAAATAATACACACTTTTCTCGTGTGCATATTTACAAAGAAGAGAATGACAGTGAGTCATTATGTAAATTAAATTATTCCAATTAAACTGTTATCACAATCAATAACTACTTCACTTGAAGTTTTTTCTGTTAGATAATTTAAAGACAAATTCACAAATAAATTGAACAATGACAGTAAGATAAACAGAAAAGGATAATTAGACATAGAAATAACAGTTAACTTAATTAAAATTACTACTTTTCCTCGGTCTAATTAGAAGTTCTTCTTTCAAAATAATTTTAAATAGTTTCTCTATTTTCTTCTTGTGTTTTAGAGAAATATACTTCCCGAAACGTTAAGCATTTTTTCCCTCTGCTAGGCAAATTTGTTTTAGTAGTAAAAAAACACTGATAAGCTGTTTCCTTTGATTGTGAACGTTACATTAATTTTAGATAATTTTGCAAAAAGGTTTATGCTTTTAATAAGCAATATTTTCAAACATTCCAAAATTGGTTAAAATTTAACACAATTTTTTAATTAGGAAGATGATTCTCCAAATACGTGATAAAATTATATGTTATTCATACCTTCATCTTCATTATTATTAACATCATCCAATCGCTCACTACCCAAAACAACCCCATGCACTTCTTCATCCTCATCATCAATTTCTTTGGTTACATCATCGTCTAACTCTTCATCATCAAACTTGTACCTTCGCTGTCTATCCAACAGATCTGAAGTGCTTTTACTTTTATTCATTTCGGCTTTCTTTTCAATGTCCACCTTCCTCAGTATCCCAGCGCCAAAGTTCAGATAGTTCCCTGAAAGAGCTCGCTTTAGCCTAAATTGTCCTAAGTTCATCTCAGTGTACGGTATATCAAAGCCCGTATTAAATCTAGTTCGTTTATTTGTTAGTAACCCTAAACCTGCAACTATTCAGTATTAATGTGTTAGTTATTTTGTTAGTTAAGAATAGTTTAGTTAATTTTCGTCCTAGATGCTTGTAAAAGTATGTGTCTAAATATTTAGAGCTCTGGTTGGCTTCCCTATCACCTGATGAAAGGTATAGGCTTATTTTTTTCTATTCAAAGGTAATAATAAATGTATTCAAAGCATCTAGAACTGGCTTGCTATAACGAAAATTAATTGATTTAAAAAATAACAAAAACAAATACCTTCTCTATCCTCTTCCTTTCTTTCCTCAAAGAAGCTTTTCAGTTTGGAAACAGATATATTTGTTCGCACTTCTTCATTGTCTTGGTCCTCAGTTTCTTCACTGGGCTCGACATACGTATCATTAACTGACCATTCTGGTTGAACTTTATTATCGTTAGTATCGGTACTATCCAGATGTTCGTTGCTGTCTACTTCATGACCTTCCTTGCCAAGTTCTTCTTCAGTTTCATTGAACTCATCTTTAGTGAGCTTTTTCTGGTCCTTGTAGCTCTTGTAAGTTTGATATTTGTTTGTTTTTGAACTAAATGATGCAGACTTGGAAATACTAGAGTACGACGAAGACCCTACTTTAATTTCGGGTTTAGTTTCTGTTCTGAATGAAAAAAACCTCGCAAGCCTGGATACGGATTTCGGTTTAGGAGCTTCCACTTCATTTTCTGGAAGACTCTGTATAGTTGTATCTGGTTGAGGTATTTCACCGTGGTTTTGTAAGTGATCTGGTAATTCATCTGACCTAGCATAATCAGTAGTATCCTTCAAAGAGTGTAAGGACTCTAGTGACTTGTTTAGACTACTGACACTAGCTTGACTTGAGAATGAAGAGGTTTTATGGTTCTCAAACCTGCCCGTTGTAGAAACGGTATTTTCTTCCCTCTTGAAGGCCAGGCCTTTCCTAAACTTATACCCTGATCGACTGTTGTCGTAGGGAAGTTTGGAATTAAGTATTTTGGACAGTTTTTGTGTTTGGCGTATAAGCTCTTTCTTTTTCTGGATGGTCGTTTCGCAACCTTCAGGATCCACGCTTACAAGGGCTTTGAGTACTTCAAATATTTGTTCTTGGAAAGCTACATGAGTTTCTTTTTCGTAGATTTCATAGTAGTTTAAATGTGCATCGATTTTCACAATTTCCTTCTCTATATCCAGTAGAGTATTAAATTCTAGGTTTGGGTCTCGGAATAGTTTATAAGTGAGAGCATTTCCGATAGATTTAGCTCTAGGTCTCAACCCAAATTCTTCTACAGACTCCGTATAATTTGTTTGTTTCTCGTAGGCATGAACTAAATTTCTTACTTTGGATTGCTGGACTGATTCTTCACCATTTTCTTCCATTTCTTGGTTGTTTTTTTACTAATATAACTCACTACACTATCTAGATTCGTAAGATTCGTTTTGAAATCACGCCTAGCTGTAAAATAACAGTTTTAAAAAAATGGAGATACGTGTGGATTTTAATATTTATCGTTACGACGTGATACAGCAGATAAGTCGGGGCTGTTATCGCTGAGTATTAGCAGGTATTACTAGATATTGAAAAATAATCTATAAGACACAAATAAATATGAACAGCATTTTCGAAATAATAAAGAATTATCGTCGATAACTTAGTTGTTTACTTTTTATTTTTATAATATGAAGTATTTTAATAATAAGAGCTAGTTAATAATATTTCGAAATTTACATGTTATTGAGACTATTTTTCTATAAATTCTATTAAAAATCAAAATTTCTTATTACTTATATGGATTTCTAAGGTCCTCCATTACGTTTTGTTTAAGTTAAACCCAAAATGAAAATGGAAAATTCAGGTATATTCACTATTCACCATGTTTTTGTTTTATTAAATAATACCAATATACAGGGTTGTCCGTACTGTATTCCGGAAACTTTAGCAACTTATTCTGCAGATAAAACTAAGTAAAAAAGTTCGTATAAATGTATGTTCTAAAATGCTTACTTTCGGAGATACAGGATGTAGAAGTTTTTATTTTTATTTCGATTTTTTCCAAATAATTTCCGTGGTAACGTCAATATTTGGATGAAAATTGGTATTTGGGAGTTTTTTGACGTAAGAAATTTGATTTTGATGACAATATGACTCTTACTTGTAGAGTGCGTCACCTACATATCTTTTCACTGGTTTGAAGAGTAATAACTTTTCGTCCGTACCTGTATAAAACTAATAAGGGACAAAATATACATTTCTGTATTTGTTTACGTAAAAAATGTCTCTTGGTAAAAATCGCTACGAGCAACTGTTCTCAAGATATTTAAAATGGAAATAGACAATACAAATCATTATTGAAAAAATGTTGAGTAGATAGTTATTTCACTGAAATAATAAATTTGGGAACATTTTATTTTTTTAAATTAATCATATATTTTTCTTCGAAAAAATTATGATAAAAGAGTTTCTGTTGAACTTTTGGCACAAAAACAATTCAAATTTATGATTTCAGTCTAATAACTATTTAGTCAACATGTTTAATTTATGTCAATGATGACAGGTATTGATAATTTCGTTTCTGAATATCTCGAAACCCATTACTCGTAGCGATTTTTACCAAGAGACATTTTTTTACCTAAAAAACGTCGCAAATGTATATTTTTTTTACTCAATAGTTTTATACAGTTACGAACGAAAAGTTATTACACTTCAAACCAGTTAAAAAATATGTAGGTGACGCCCTCTAAAAGTAGCAGTCATACTGATATCAAAATCAAATTTCTCATGTCAAAAAACTCCCAGACACAAACTTTCATCCATATATTGACGTAACTTCAGAAATTATTTGGAAAAAATCGGAATAAAAATGAAACATCTACACGCTGCGCTGTATCTCCGAAACTAGGCATTTTAGGACATACATTTATACGAACTTTTTTACTTATTATTATAATACAGTTCGGACCACTCTGTATAACCTCATTACATTAATATAACATTCTCGTAATTAAACATCTAGATATATATTTTCGATAGATTATTAAAACAAAACATAAATATTACGATACCGGTTTATCTGATAACAAAAATAACGAATATTTTCGAATAATTCATCCATCGAAAGAATCGTTGGCATTTTTTTCGGCTGTATGCAATTTAAATATTTGATATTTTCGCAAATCCGTAGCGTGCCTCCCATTTAATATTAAAATACCAGATTTTACGTTTTGTTTGCCCGTAAATCAGGCCCCACGACAAATGTATCCTAAAATATGACCGTAATAAACCTGTGACATATGCACTGAAACTGTCCGGCAAAAATTATTATATTGGTAGAAAGGCATTCTTTATGCGAGGTTGCAATTCCGAAACAATAAATGTATTGTGCGTCGGGAACTAACTATTTGAAATTGTCCCCCCGTTTTTATCGAGTAAAAACACAGTTTAGCAACAATTCGTTTCGTTTAAATTTTTTTTTTGGGGACGCCGAGTAAAATATTCGCTCTCGCTCTGTCACAACGCATTGTTTTTGTTTCTTTCTGTTAGCGTATTTTTGGGGAGCTGGCAGTTTTTTAACAAACACAAAAATGTACAAAAGCCAAGTCTCGGAACGCAGTTCTTCAACTACTGAAAGTTGGGAGATCTCATCCCAAACCAAGTCAGTTATTTTAGGGTCCATGGAAGGCACCCACACTGAAAAAAAGGATCTCTCAGTCGGAATGAATATGACTTTGACCCAAAAGATTGACGCTTTTCAATAGGGCCAAGGCTCGATATCGCGCTGCTTGCTCGCCGCTCTCCTCGTCGCGCCACTATCACGGGGGTGTCACTTGTATGGGAAAACAGGCAACAGTCAAATTTAAACGTGCCAGGACCAACGACAAAGAAAGCAACATCTGCCAGGCATTGGCTTTCTTTGTCACTCACATTGCTTAAATCATGATACCGCGGCCATTTTGCCAACAAAGAAGCTGGCCGGGCTGTCCTGGCAAGTGATTTAAAACAATTTTGCTTTTTACAATATTAAATTACCATTTGGATGTATTTAATGCGATTATTCAATTAACTGGTAAGTCAGAAATTACACACAAATACTTTATTCGTAAATACAACTAAGATGTAAACGTAGTTTTGTATTTTTAGATTTCAACTTTTGCAAAGACCCGCCGATAGAACTTGCCTGGCAGCGTACCTGTTTAATTAAACGTATTATTTCCTGATAATAATATCAAAACACGTAAGTACCTCTATAATTTATGATGAAAAATGATTTTGATTATGTTTTATATTATTTAAATACTTTATAACCTCAAATAATAGTAAGATCCTTGTTTATATCGCACAGCCCGTTCAAAACTGTATTGTCTTCAAAAAATGTTTACAGAACAAACAATTATTACAAAAACAATGTCCTTTTAATCTGATTTATACCTCAGAAGGATGCCAGTTAAATTTTTATTAAATCAACATTACATTATTTGGCCATTAATATGCAAAAAGGAGCATATTGCGTTAACTTAAATTTTCTTTTACTTCTCCTGACAATGTTCTCTATATTCTCTATTTTGAGTTAGTAAACTTTTGAACGGGATGTGCGATATATAAAATACATAATATATCCAAGGGCATGATCTGATAAAAGTATTTTTTGATGCATTTTTTGGTTGTTTATGCACATTGGCTTGGTTTATGTTTTATTCAGCTTATATTTATTTGGTATAACAGTTTTTTTTGCCTTTGGAATGGCATGCATTGAGGCTAGATAGTGTTTCATTAGACCATTAAAGAAATTTAAATTAGCATATATTTTTTGTGATGTTAGTGTGTTATCATGATACAGGTAGTTGTATCATAGTGCCTTATGCATGTTATTTACCTATTATATACTTATGTATTATCAGTAAATAGATGATAATATACTACTAAAATGTCTTTTTAATAGTATGTTTATCTTTCCAATTCACTAGTTATTTGCAAAATGTATTTTGAACTAATTTAAGTCATTATTGATCATCTTTCTTTTTCAGGTTCCGGGATATTCTTTTTCATTGTTAAAAAAATATATATATTTCAATATTATTGTAATATAAATCGCAGCTCTAAAAAGTAAATGATATTGTTTACTAATGTGTAATTTATTTACTATGAATTTTCTCTGAAAATAATAAGTCTTTAATAATATCATTGATTTGCTGTGTAAAGTTAATAGACATATTTTTTTAATACATTAAATTATATTAAAGTAATAAAAAATATGTTTATTAACTGTAAACAGTAAGTCAGTGATACTTACAAAAATATTTTTTTAAAAATTTCTCCTCTTTTAAGCCCCGCCCCTCCAATTCCCCTCAATTTAGCTAGTACTGCCAGGCGACACCAGGTGGCGTCTGTTTCCATTTTTTAACATGAAGTTAGCATTTCTTTAATGTACCTATTCTCTGGCCACTATGTTTTCAGCCTTAGGCGTATAGTCTATAAAATGAATAACTTTGAATTTTGACCGTTATTTTTTACCAACATGGCAAATATAAAATCCCTCTGTCAAAAAAGTTACTGATATTCTTTAAACTGAGTGCCTGAACGAATCAGATAGGTAACTCTTTTTACTTTCGTGAAATAGAAAAGGAAAATAATAAAACGAATGTCATAATTGCCAAAAGTAAAATATCATCAGCTTTTGACATTTCTAAATATCAGACCAATGCCGTCTCTAATAGAACAGCCTCGGAGCGAGATTAATGACGTCACGCTAGTTAGATACTACGGATTAATAAATATGTTGTAGAATATATGGAAAACATGTATTCATGATACATTGTTATTAATACATATTCATTCATAAACATTGTATTTTAAAAATGATATAGTTTACATGAAATATACATAATATACAGTTAATAAATACTTAGAAGAAAATTCTTGGGGATAGCGGTCTGAAGGTAAAAATTAAACAATTTTTTTGTTATAATTGATCGGTCAAGACTTCCTCTTTGTTGATAAATACAATATATATATACCTATTTATAGTAATAAATACTTTGGCAAATAAACTATGAACCACACAAATGCAGCAAATGTTTTACAATACACAAATAATAAATAGGTACATCAGATAATGGATAAAATGTAAAATATATTTTAAATTTTGGGGTTTGAAAATCGATCTAATTTAACAAAAAACATTCAATATCTACTAATAGTGATGTATTATTATTTGCATTCACAAAATTTATATGTATATTTTGCGAGTATCAATGTTCGAAAAATTATATTTGCAAATAATACAATATCACAGAAAAAAAGGCATCAGCGATGAAATTAAAATCGCTGTCATTTTATATGTAAAATTATTCTAAAATTTTTGATTTTCTTGGGATTTAGATTCGGGAAAAACGCTGACTAAGTTTTCATTTGGTTTTTCATTATTTTTATTTGGTTTAAAAAAAACGTTTCGGGTAACATTATAGTGTGTTATATGAAAAAAATAGTGTCAAATATAATCCAAAAAATTACATATAAAATATTCACACCACACACCATATAATGTTTACTACAATTAATAAACTAATATAAACTTGTCAAA